GGCCCCGAGTTCAATTCTCGGCACGTCCATGATGTACAACAACTACAATGTGTTAATAAGTAGTTTCCCCGGAGAGGACAAAGAGCCTTACCTTCACCGGGGCATGTGGTGTAGAGGTATCACGTCTGCTTTGCATGCAGAAGGCCCCGAGTTCAAACCTCGCCACGTCCACTACCTACAGCAAGAAGTATATGTTGTTGAGCAATTCCCCCGGAGAGGACAAAGGACCTTGCCTCCACCGGGCGTGTGGTGTAGAGGTATCACGTCTGCTCCGCATGCAGAAGACCCCGAGTTGAATTATCGGCACGTCCACTACCTACAGCAAGAAGAATATTCTGTTGAGTAGTTTCCCCGAAGAGGACAAAGGACCTTACCTTCAGCGGGCGTGTGGTGTAGAGGCATCACGTCTGCTTCGCATGCCAAACTCTCAACTTGAATCGAAATCGATCACTGGTCACTGCTGCGCCCCAATGTATGAGGAGCACTGATCAATTCATGGGGATCATCAGCTACCGGAGGTTGGTGTGCGTCCGTAAAGAGATCATAGCTCGTAGGACCATATCGATCATAGGAGTGATACAGTCGCGAGAATCCCCCTGCATCTGGGTCGGACATGGTTCGGCTCCTCGAGGGGTGCTCTACCGTTCCCTTTTTCCCACCCAACCCGGGGAAGACTCTCACTCTTCTCGTTATCTGAAGGGGATTTTCGAAATCGATCACTAGTCATTGCTCCGCCGGGCGTGTGGTGTAGTGGTATCACGTCTGCTTTGCATGCAGAAGGCCCCGAGTTGAATTTTCGGCACGTCCACGATCTACAGCAACTAGAATATGTTGTTGAGTAGTTTCCCCGGAGATGAGAAAGGAGCTCACTTCCGTCGGACGTGTGGTGTAGTGGTATCACGTCTGCTTTGCATGCGGAAGGCCCCAGGTTCAAACATCGGCACGACCATTACCTACAGCAAGAAGAATATGCTGTTGAGTAGTTTCCCCGAAGAGGACAAAGGACCTTACCTTCACCGGGCGTGTGGTGTAGAGGTATCACGTCTGCTTCGCATGCAGAAGGCCCCGAGTTCAATTCTCGGCACGTCCACGATGTACAACAACCACAATGTGATAATGAGTAGTTTCCCCGGAGACGAGAAAGGAGCTCACTTTCGTCGGGCGTGTGGTGTAGTGGTATCACGTCTGCTTTGCATGCAGAAGGCCCCGAGTTCAAACCTCGGCACGTCCATTACCTACAGCAAGAAGAATATGCTGTTGAGTAGTTTCCCCGAAGAGGACAAAGGACCTTACCTTCACCGGGCGTGTGGTGTAGAGGTATCACGTCTGCTTCGCATGCCAAACTCTCAACTTGAATCGAAATCGATCACTGGTCACTGCTGCGCCCCAATGTATGAGGAGCACTGATCAATTCATGGGGATCATCAGCTACCGGAGGTTGGTGTGCGTCCGTAAAGAGATCATAGCTCGTAGGACCATATCGATCATAGGAGTGATACAGTCGCGAGAATCCCCCTGCATCTGGGTCGGACATGGTTCGGCTCCTCGAGGGGTGCTCTACCGTTCCCTTTTTCCCACCCAACCCGGGGAAGACTCTCACTCTTCTCGTTATCTGAAGGGGATTTTCGAAATCGATCACTAGTCATTGCTCCGCCGGGCGTGTGGTGTAGTGGTATCACGTCTGCTTTGCATGCAGAAGGCCCCGAGTTCAAACCTCGGCACGTCCATTACCTACAGCAAGAAGAATATGCTGTTGAGTAGTTTCCCCGAAGAGGACAAAGGACCTTACCTTCACCGGGCGTGTGGTGTAGAGGTATCACGTCTGCTTCGCATGCAGAAGGCCCCGAGTTCAATTCTCGGCACGTCCACGATGTACAACAACCACAATGTGTTAATGAGTAGTTTCCCCGGAGACGAGAAAGGAGCTCACTTTCGTCGGGCGTGTGGTGTAGTGGTATCACGTCTGCTTTGCATGCAGAAGGCCCCGAGTTCAAACCTCAGCACGTCCACTACCTACAGCAAGAAGAATATGCTGTTGAGTAGTTTCCCCGAAGAGGACAAGGGACCTTACCTTCACCGGGCGTGTGGTGTAGAGGTATCACGTCTGCTTCGCATGCAGAAGGCCCCGAGTTCAATTCTCGGCACGTCCACGATGTACAACAACTACAATGCTGTTAATGAGTAGTTTCCCCGGAGAGGACAAAGACCTTACCTTCACCGGGCGTGTGGTGTAGAGGTATCACGTCTGCTTTGCATGCAGAAGGCCCCGAGTTCAAACCTCGGCACGTCCACTACCTACAGCAAGAAGAATATGCTGTTGAGTAGTTTCCCCGAAGAGGACAAAGGACCTTACCTTCGTCGGGCGTGTGGTGTAGAGGTATCACGTCTGCTTCGCATGCAGAAGGCCCCGAATTCAAACCTCGGCACGCCCATGATGTACAACAACTACAATGTGTTAATGAGTAGTCTCCCCGGAGACGAGAAAGGAGCTCACTTTCGTCGGGCGTGTGGTGTGGTGGTCTCTCGGCTCCGTGCTATCCGGTTGACCGGGTGACGAAATATAAAGGGTCCCAGCAGCCTCAGGCCAGGCGGCTGCGCCGCCTGGCCTGAGGCTGCTGGGACCCTTGGAACCTGCGGTTTCTCGTCGTGGTCTTCTCGAACAGAAGGCTGCAGAAGAAGCTGGATAAGGACGCGGATACGCTTCCGATACCTCTGGCACCGCGCGAAGCCGGGTCGCAGTTGAAGCACTGTGTGAAGCTCGCCGACACTCCGGTCACATTTGGGTCGGCGTACCTTGCGGCAACCAACCAGAAGTTCTACCAATCGATCTTTCGTGAGTGGCTCAGTGAGGGCTGTACGAAGGAGGGATCGGCAGGCCAAGGTTCAGAAAGCTGTGACGATGTTGCCCCCGAGACGGATGAGAGTGACTGCGATATGAGTTCGGCGGCGAGCGACTCAACTGAGAGTATGTCTGATACCGCGGAGCGGCTGCAAAACCTGATTAGCTCGGGAACCACCAAAGGGAAGGTGCTAAAGATGGTTGGACCAAGAGCCGGCCCGCATCCCATTCCCCTCGCTCGCTGGACGCCACTCGTCAAGGGAGTTGTGGGCGAATTGGTCGCAGAGGTTGGCCACCAGAAGCCAGACGAAGTTTACAAGCGGTACCAAAAAAAGGTATTCAGTGAGTTGCATGATGTGATCGAAGACACATCTGGAGGAAGAAAACCACCACTCCCACTCCACGACATCACACCACAAGACGCGAGGGTATTCATCCGGGACCTCCGCCGCCTTCGTTCAGGCGTCCCCATCACTGTGAAGTCAATGCAGCAGGAGAGGCTTCTGGAGTTGGATCTGCAAGCAGAGGATGAAAAACAGGGCATACTAAGGTCCGAGATCAGTAGGGCTGTTGTTGAGACCATCGGAGAGCATCCACCGGACCGTCCTTCGGCTATTACGGGCGACGACATCGTCCGGGACTGGGTAGGGCAGAAGGCCGCACGAGAGAAGGTTGAGAAGGCTGCGAGAGGCACTGGGATCCCTGAATTGAGCTCAAACTCTGCAGCAAACCTTCCCGGAAAGGAGTGTGCGGAAGAGAAGGAAGATAAGAAGGCTCGTTGCGATACTCCCGGGCTGGTCAAAGGAGGAGTTATGAGCATGGTATGTAAGCACTGCCAACAACCCAAAGCGAAGGGTTACAACCAGCACGACTACAGCGATGGCAGCCGCTATGGGATATGCCCTATGCAGCCTCCGAAAAGCACTCCTGACCCTGCCGTGGTCGCCTATGCTCGTGAAGTGGCCAAGAGCGTGACAGCATATCTTCCCGATGGTAAGAAGGGTACTCAACACTGTGGTTTGTGCGGACTGCCACTGAGTGCGACACTGCGGGATACTGCTGGCAAGCAACTCGCGAGCCACGAGCGATTTTTGGACGAGGGTGAGAAGCTAGCATGGCTTTGTCCACTAGCCGGAAATATTCCGCCAGAGAGGGTCGAGCAGCTCAGGGCTTTGAAGACACAGCGGAGTGAGGCCAAAGCAGCGCGGAGAAATGAAGCGAGGCGGATCCGATACATTGAAGCTAAGCGAATCCGGTCGGAGGATGTTAACGAAGATTTACAAATGTGAGTCACGATTGCAAGGTTGTCTGTTTCTCATGATAGCTTTGATTCTATTGTCAGGCCTTCAGCAAAAAGGCATCGGTCAGGGAAGTAGTGTAGCATGCTTGTGACATCGGCACACTATGAGCAAATCGACAACATCGATGATGATTCGTCAGATTCTCACTAACGTTGCATCGTGTTGTGTTTTATAGCAACACGAGTCAATCAGAGGCATGTCCGCGACGAGTTGTTTGTTTGCTCCTGTTTTCTTCCCTTCTTTCTCCCTTCCTTTTCTCCCTTCTTTTTCCCCCTCTCCTTTCTCGATTTTTCCACCCAGCCGTGGTGTAGTGGTATCACGTCTGCTTCGCATGCAGAAGGCCCCGAGTTCAAACCTCGGCACGTCCACTGCCTACATCAAGAAGAATATGCTGTTGAGTAGTTTCTCCGAAGAGCACAAAGGACCTTACCTTCACCGGGCGTGTGCTGTAGAGGTATCACGTCTGCTTCGCATGCAGAAGGCCCCGAGTTCAAACCTCGGCACGTCCACTGCCTACATCAAGAAGAATATGCTGTTGAGTAGTTTCTCCGAAGAGCACAAAGGACCTTACCTTCACCGGGCGTGTGCTGTAGAGGTATCACGTTTGCTTCGCATGCAGAAGGCCCCGAGTTCGAACCTCGGCACGTGCACTGCCTACATCGAGAGAAATATGCTGTTGAGTAGTTTCCCCGAAAAGGACAAATGACCTTACCTTCACCGGGCGTGTGGTGTAGAGGTATCACGTCTGCTTCGCATGCAGAAGGCCCCGAGTTCAATTCTCGGCACGTCCATGATGTACAACAACTACAATGTGTTAATGAGTAGTCTCCCCGGAGACGAGAAAGGAACTCACTTTCGTCGGGCGTGTGGTGTAGTGGTATCACGTCTGCTTTGCATGCAGAAGCTTCCGCGCTCAGTTATGGCACGTCCGCCGTCTGAAATACAAGAACACTAACCCGCGAAACCCCATAGGATCATAGGAACTTAGTCGCTGATTCTACGAAGAACGATGGTCATTGGGGTTCCAGCTCAAAACAGCGAGGAGTGGCCCACCTTCCTTCAAGGCTTGCTAAAGTCTAGTCCTGAGATTCACTACCAATAACACTATGTACTCCTTCGAGCTCACTGTCGACTTTTGCGTGCGTACCCCGTACCAGGAACTGCTCGTGTCTCGCTCCGACGCCGTAAGAACCACTCGAGGGGAAGCTACTTCAGAGAAAAGATCATCGTACCGGAGTTAGTGTGACTCCGTCCAGAGTGAAACCTCCCATCTCTTTTTCCGCACTCCCAAGGAATGTTTCCCCTCTTCCCAATCATCCCCTATTTAGAACGCAGAGAATAGCGAGCGTCAGAAAATAACTACAGTGCCTAACTCTCCTTTCTCTCTCGAATTGAGTCATTCCATTGACTCACATCACTCAAAGCAAGCGCCTGTGGAATGATCGACAGATACACCATCCCAATCTTGCGAAAGTATGTGCCGAAAGTCTCCTCAGAACCTACGAGACGGGAAGTCAATACTCACCGGAGAGTGTACACTGGGCATCGCATTCTCTACTCGGCCAACCCCATGCCTCTCCCTAGATGTCCTACCTTCAACTGCCGCCCTGGCCTTAAGCAAAGGCAGCAGCACTAAAGTGTCCAGGAGTAAATTAATCCCGATGAAGCAGCCAGAAAGGTACAGAGCCCTCGTATATGGTAGAGGACGGGCTCTTGGACACACCCGCAATAGACATCTTGAACCACAGGTTACTCCAATGATAACCTGACAGACTCTTTAGAAACAGACAAAGATTCCTCGTTCGGTCTTACCATACAGTTCTTGAATGTATACTCCTCCACTTGAAGCTCACCCTTATCGTTGAAGAATGGGATTGACGCGACGAATGGCAGCAACCACGAGATGAAACTCCAGCAGAGTATCCTTCCTATCCCGGGCTGGGTGTAATCTGGCGAAGTTTGGGTCGGATCTTCTTCTGTCATGTCTTAGTACTACTATTAATTCTAGAACACAGATCTCATCGCCTACAGGATATCCGAGCTAGAGCATTGCGGAAGGCAGACCGACCGAGATTGCGGCACGTTAGTACAGCGCGGCCGCAGCCTGAGAGCATCCGAGCCGGAGCGATTAACTGAACTCCACGCAACACCCCGTCTATGAAAGTAAAGGCTAGCTGCCGGGACATCGTGAGGGCGATAGGGAAAGGTGAGGACACCAAACGACCCAAGCGTACAGATACTATAGTTGGAGTTAGAAACATCAGATGTCCAGACCACCTCCCTCCGACGACTGTCCATTAGTTCGATCCACAAGTTCACTCTTCATTCTTCACAGGAACAGCAACAAGTATGCTAGACTGAGGCCTCTTCTTGAGAATCTCGACCGCTGCTTCTTCACCGGACTTCACGGCCGCCTCAATACCCGCCCCAGAGAAGGCTGCACCAATAAGGTGGACGTGCTGGTCAACGACAGACTCCTTCAACTTCTCGACTGCAGCACGATACTCATCATTGAAGACCGGCAGAGCAGAGTCCCATCTGGAGACATAAGATGATAAGACCTCCTGCTGCGTGAATGAGCATATCTTCATCAATGACTCGGAAGCTAGTTTAGACCACTCTTCATCTGACCACTTCCTGAGGGGCTCAGCACGAGGCCTGTAATAGCAACGGAACAGCGCCGTCCCTGATGGTGATCTACCAGGAAACTTCTCATTCACCAGAGCCACAGCACGCAAGCCGTGGAGGTCGTCCTGCATCTCGGCAGGAACCGAGAAGCTGTGCCAATGATCACTAGTTTGGCCGACCATCCGCACTAGACAGTAGACGGATACGTGACTCATAAGGTCAGTACTGTTGGACTCCCTTCCCAACATAGCACAGGCTTCCTTCTCTGGTGTGGCAATAACAACCTCGTCGACTATGAGCTTCTCACCACCAGCCAGAGTCAACTTGGTATTCGACTGGTTATTAGCATCACGCTCGAGTGAGGAGACCTCATCGTTAAGGAAAACGGTGCAAAGAGGTGATTTCTCCAGACAGGAGTGCATCGAGTCGACGAGCTCTCCCATGCCCCTACGGAAGCTCGCAATACCTGAAAGTTTTAGGCTAAAACCTCAGTGTACTAACAACATCAGCAGGAGAGGTAGTTTGAGGAATTTGCACCTCTGCCAAAATCCTCTTTCTTGACCTGGAAACCGAGCTTTCGAGCGGCCTCGCCTCTATCCAATTGGATGAGTGTATCTGAACACCAAGAAGACGATGCCTGCCATCCACAGTCGGACCCCGAAATGCATGAGAGGTGAGCAGCCAGGCAGGTCTGAGGTCAAACTGACGTGGGTCAGCCTGACGAGGAATCCTATACAAACAACAGGGCAATTACAGCTACATCATTCTCTGCTGGATTATCCTGAAAGACTTCACGCAGGGATACCGTGTTGTATGATTTACTCCAATATTGATATCACAGTTCGGTATAGAGAGGTAGTCGTCTAGTACAGATATCCTAAAGCTCCTCACAACAAATGGGCGGCATCGGATGCCCATTACACAACCATGATCATTATTACAGTTCTCGTCGATCTCATAGTTCTCGACTGGCTCTTGCGGTAGCATATCCTCTTCAATACCGAGGGCATTAGCAATCTTGGGCACCGCTACTGCTCGACGAACGAACCCTTCACCACCAGCCTCCCAGATCACCTACACCGACAGTCGAAGCCTCCGGATAGCGACGGAGAGCTAAAGCATCTCCCGGTCGAACGAACCAAGTAACCAAGAGCTATCAGTCAGAAGGTGCTAAGCCTCCCAGCAGCTATAGTTGTTCATCATGCCGCCGCCGATGCCTACCCCGTTGTCTTCATATCGAGTCCAGCACTGGCCTCCGACTCTATCCTCCTTCTCGATCAGAGTCACTGTCACGCCGTTCATGGTCAAGTAGGTGGCGCATGCAAGCCCAGCGAGGCCGGCACCAATAACGGCAACGTGCGGTGAGTGGGCTACATCTTCGTTGGATCGGCTGTCGGGAACACAGTCGGAAGAGGGCATTGCACGGGATATCAGGCGAAAGAATCAAACCTGAATATGCGACAATCCGGCGTCCGATGTTCACTGGTGATTCTCGAAGTACTCGAGGAACTGAAGCGTTTCAACACGACAAGGAAGAGTAAAGGGAAACACTCACGGAAGGAACGGGAACAATCAAAATGAAATCTTCTCCTGAGGCGGTCGGACCTGAAGAGGTGCTGATGGTGGGCCACCGCGAAGTCAGTCAGCAGCACTTCCACAACATGTAGATCATGATGCACCCGAAGACGTCCAACATACCTGGACAACAGCGTTAGGCCAGCGAGTCTGTATGACTTTTTGTAGTGACTCATGGCTGTCCGCAGCAGCGTACCGTTCCTCAATGTTGGAGGTGATCACCTGACAGCCGTTGCATTGATGATCGCTACATACCATAGTCAACAAAAGTGTGGAATTCACGGCAGGCTCAGTAAGGCGGAGGCTGTTGCAGTGTACACGCTTTGCGGAGTGGCCTGTACAAGGCAATCCATGGGGAGCTGAGCTGACCTTGATTTCTCGCAGGCTTGGGCCACCAGGCTTCTGGCCGTCGTAGAGATACCTGGAGCCGAGGGACCTCATCATGGATGCCACACGCCTGAGTAGCGTACATAGTGTGAGCCGAGGGCCTTCGGGAGTCGGAATCCACTTCAGCCATCCTCGCCTCACCGAATAATGCCTTGCAGAAGGTACTTTGGAATGAGTCATACAGTACCTAGCACGAGTGTTCAGCCAACAGCACTCAAGCCTACTCTCAACACTCACAATAGACTCATCCAATGCCGATTCTTTCACAACGGCCTCCATCTGTGCCCGAGAGCTGCCCGGAGGTATCTAGGAGTGGCCTGTTGAACTCTGTATCGCTGGGTCGGTCCAACGTACAAGGTCATCCGGAATGTCATCAAGGATCATCTTATCCACCTGCTCCACTGTAGCAATGCCTGCATCGGTGCCTAGAAACGAACCATGAATGCGAATACAATCGACATGCGTGAGGTCTCCAATACGCTTCCCACCCGTAGGTCCATGCGCCCCACCAGTACTATTCCAGACTAGCCAATGATAGCGCGACGGAGAAGCACTTACAGTTAGCATCGAAGATGTCCTTCAGTTTGTCTCTCACCACGCTGATCGGATTCCGCTTAACACAGTTGAGGTTACGTGAGAAGAGCAGAGTGTAATGATTAGGTGATCCAATCACCCACAGAGGCAGCTCAGGGTTCTTATAACGACTCCCAACTGTTACATATCTGACGGAAACTCGCCAAGTACATACCAGTGCGCGCAAATCCGGGGGGACAATGTAAACCTGCAACAACTGCCCGGCAGTTGAGCACAGCATACGAAGGAACGATGATCATGAAGCCCTACCCTATATTACCTGAGGGCCTCCAACTCAGTGATATAGCCGACGACCACCGGTATGTCAGCAGGGACCTATAACAGGAACCTGGGAGCTAGTGCAGAGCTAGTACCAACACGGGACGACACTGTTGTGCCACTGTGTGATGACGATGATGAGCAGACTGGTGAGGGCAGACGGACCCCAGCTTACACCACGTAACATCATCCCACCCCCAAGTGACTCTTGGCCATCAAAAACATTAGAGACACATCGACCAAGGAGGCAGAGATTGACCAACTCCTGTGAGCAATGGCCGAACATTCCCACCAAGACGTTACCTGACAGCGGCAGCTACCCTCTACCCCTAGACTTGAACCCCACCTGGATCATCCATATCAGAGCGACACATCTCCGGGCCACCTCGAGTGAGTAAGAGTGACACGACCTGAGTATGAGTAGGGCCAGTTACGTCATGGCGCCCCTCCGAGTATAGCCTGTATTACGAAGGATACGATGGCCGTTTG